AAAGTTTAGGGAAAAAAAGGTGAAAAAAGGTAAAAGGGAGATGTCTTAGTAACAGTGGTTAAAGTGGTGTCAAATGGTATGGGGAAATTATTGAAGCTAGTGTCTTAGGATGAATTAAAGTTCTTACCCAAGCTAACTGTTTTTCATCTCATTATGGGATTTTACCCTTTCTTTAAGAAATACTTCAGGGGCAGCTAGGTGGCACAGTGGATAGAGCACTGGTCCTGGAGTCAAGAGGACCTGAGTTCAAATCCGGCCTCAGACCAAACACTTGACACTTACTAGCTGTGTGACCCTGGGCAAGTCACTTAACCCCAACTGGCTAAAAAATTTTTTTGTTAAAAAAAGCTTATTCAGAAGTACTTCAGGGGCAGCTAGCTGGTGCAGTCGATAGGGCTACGGCCTTGAAGTCAGGAGGACCTGAGTTCAAATCCGGTCTCAGACACATAACACGTACTAGCTGTGTGACCCTGGGCAAGTCACTTAAATTCAATTGCCTAGCCAAAAAAAAAAAATACTTCACACTGATAGTGAAGATGGCTTCTATCAGATATTTTGAAAAGCAGGTTGGATTTTTGTGCTTTTGGGTTTTTATCAACAAAACCATATAGGCTATCGACATAAAAATGTTAATTAAATAACCATACGTACAAAACAACTGAAAAATAAATATCAAAAAATTACAAAGAGTAAACACGGTCCTAAAAAAGAAATATGAAAAGATACCTCACCCTACTCCTTTGCAGAGGTTAGAGGTCCATAGGTATGGACTACTGTAAATATTTTCAGATTTTTTCCAACTTATTGATTGGTTTTACTGATTATTTTTTCTCATCTGCCTCTTTTTTCTTTCTTTAAAAATTATATTTTGTAAGGGTAGACGGTCTGGAGGGCAGCGAGGTGGCACCACAGTAGACTGAGTACTAAGCCTGAAGTCAGGAAGACCTGAGTTCAGACCTGGCCTCAGATACTTACTAGCTGTATGACCCTGGGCAAGTCACTTCACCCTGTTTGCCTCAGTTTCCTCATCTGTAAAAATGAGCTGGAGAAGGAAATGGCAAACCATCCCAGCATCTTTGCCAAGAAAACCCCAAATGGAGTCCCAAGAGTCAGACATGACTGAAAATGACTGCACTGTTGTTCTTACAACATTGCACTCCTCAGCCTCATACCTTGGTCTTCCCCTGACCCAACTTCAGCTTCCTTTTGTGTATTGCCTTCCCCGTTAGAATGTAAGCTTCTGGAGGGTGGAGATTTCTTTTTCCTGGTATTGGTATTCCCAGTGCTTAGCACAGTGCCCGGCCCAAAAGGAAGCTCTGAATAAATGCTTATGGCTTGACTAGTCAGGCTGAGGTTTGGACTACATCTACAAATGATCAAAGCACAAGCTGGGACCTATCAGGGCATTTGTTTCATAACGTTGGGAAGTCCTTTTCGCTGTGCGGTTACCGAGGGAACTTAATAGCATCTCTTAACTCTAAAGCCGTGGATCTCAGGTTCCCTTTGGACCTGAGAGCTCCACACTTTTATAGCAAACATTCACTGAATATTCAACCCAAATCAGTTAATTTTCATGTGGACAGAAAGCTATCTGTCATTAAAGGAGAGAGAAAATGCACAAAGTTTAACTAGAACAGCAAACTTCAGAGGGCAGTGATGCCAGCTCAGAATCACGCCAGTGGGAGCAATGAAGCAGAGGGAGAGAGCCGACAGGGCACAACTCTGGCATGTCCCACAGAGCAGCCAGTGAGTACATCAAGGCAAAGTCAATTCTGTGTGGGTTGTGTGCTCCTTCGGCTCATGAACCAGCCAGAAAAACCTCTAGCACTTATGATTATATTCAGTTGGGACTGCCAACAGCTCACTGCTGATGGCTTTCTGCCTACCACCCTTCTCCTCTCAAGCCAGAGAAAAAATGCCTGGGAGCCTCCCTCCTCCCATCATCCTCTACTGCCTCTTTGAAACTAGGAAAAACTTTACTTCACATCAGCCCCTGCTTGATAAGAAAGCTAATTCCTTAAAGGGACAGGCAAGTGCTGCCATCCTAGGTGCCCACCACCCCACCCATTCCCAACCATCCCCATGCTGGGCAGATGGCAGATCCCAGCCACAGGCTGCAGAAAGCTGTTCCCAGCCATGGGAATAGGCTACTGTGGCTGTGGAGATGAGATGAGAAACCTCCAGGGTCTCAGGGCTGAGCTCAAGCTCTCCTTTCCTTCCTGTACCCCCAGTGATTGTGTAGGGGCAGAGAGCCTCTAAAGAAAGGGACTATCTCTAAACACCAACCTGGTTACAATTTTGCAAAATAAAGCTTCTCTTCCAGACACAACTATCTTTCTCTAGAAGTACCATCCTCAGTAGAAACCCAAACCTCTGCCCCTCTAGATATCGCAGGAATACAGGGGTGGCCAAAATTCCTGCCAAAGTTCTTGGGGAGAAGAAGGAAGAAGGGAGCATTTTCCATGCCATGAGGACCTAAGGGGAGGCCACTGACTTTCCTACATGACATTACTCAGGACTGAGGCTGATGGGGTATGTGACTACATAAACTTCAGGTATCACTTCGTGAGGATTTTTGAGAAGGAACATTGTTCCTCACTTAAAGGCCTATCCAGCTCTGACAAGAAATGTCATAATTCAATCATAATCTCTGCTCAAATTTCTCTCTATCTCTGTCTGTCTCTGTGTCTGTCTCTGTCTATCTGTCTCTCTCTTCCTCTGGTTAACCCCTGGCCGCTGGAAACATTTGGGTACCAGAATATCAGATAACACCTTAGAGTCTGTGGATAGAAAGGCCTTGGGAGAGGAAGCTGGGGAAAGAGCAGACTTTTCATATCTCCCTTCTCTGCCCCAGCTCAGCCTTTCTTTGGTTCCCGAAGGTATGCTGGAACATTCTCTCTCCTGCTACTCACCCCTGCTGGTATTGTTTGATTCTGACTAACTCAAAGTTTTTACATGGGACTCACAGCCAACTGGAACAGACTTCTGGGTTAGCATCATTTCACTTTATCAAATGGCTTTCAAAGACTTCTCATACTTAAGTCAAAATCTGTGAAAGAGTTTGATTGATTGAGCATTTTATCCTTTACTTTATGTAGGATGGGGTGGGGGGAGTAAATCAGTCACTCCCACCCTTACATACATTTGGGAGAAGGGAGATCACCTGGAGATCTTCCCTACCTTTATTTCCTTTTTTTCCCCATGGGATGGGGGTGGTGGGGGCATGGTACCTGAAAGAAAAAAAAGGACCCAGGCACCCTTCAACAGATTTTTAATTTGACGGTGATGGTATGTGTGAGTGAAATCTCAACCAGATTTTCCTCTATGGTTTCTCTACACAGAAAAGTAAAAATGAAAGGAAATGTTCTTCTGAATAGCTATACTCAAAAGGTACAGAGAAGCACAGGAAAAAAAAACAAAACACCTCACTGTTAAGAAACATCTGCTTCCAAAATCCACAAGTAATAAATGGCAGAGACTGCAGCCAAGGAGACAACTTCACCCACAGGACAACTGCAGCTATGACCACACTCTCTACAGAACAAGGGTACAGGATATAGGATGTATCTATAGCTATATGTGTACCTTGCTATACTATACATGATGCTAAGTCCTGTGATCCCTTGAAACCAATCTGGAGTTCCATAGGTTCACAGATCAATTCCATTTCTAGGGTGTCCCCCCAGGATTTGCTTCAGCAGGCCTAGAACTCCAGGATTAGGGGAGCCCTAGGTCCTTACTGTACCTGCTTTGTACAGACCCTAGACTTGCCTGTGCAGGACCCATGTCCGGAGTCCTGGAGGAAAACACCCGTTAAGTGGATGGGAGAAGGGGGTGGGGGAAAGATGGAAGTTTCCAGGAGAAGGGCATCACCAACTGGAGTAGCGTCTTTACATATGAGAGGGAGTATATGGGTCGAGGAGAAGTGCCGCAGAGACGGGCCAGCGCAGGGCCTCAATGGAGCTCGAGGACACTGGGAATGTGCTAGGAATATGGAGTTGGGGGGAGTGCATCGGGGGGAGTGCATCGGGGGATGCAGCTCGGCTTACTCGGTGGGGGTCTGTGGTGTGACACTGTTCGGCTTACCCCCTCCGCTTAGATAGCCCGAGGTAGCTAATAGAAGCAGCAGATAGGGCTGAGACAGAGCTACCCCTCCCCTTCACCTTCTCTTCTTCCCAGGACCTAGGCAGTAGAAATGCGGGAGCCTCAACAACCCGAATCAGGTATGTGTTGGCGCTGAGTGCTGAAAGGGGCGGCTCTGGGGGCCCCAAAACCATGGAGGTCCCCCGGCCCCGCCCAAGAGAGACAGAGAAAGCGCTGCAACTCTTCCCTGGCCCCGACTGTCCCTCCCCCACAGTCCTTTGTTCCTCCCTCTTTTACCGATTTCTCCCTCCTCCTGGAGTGGTCACACACCTCTCCTCCAGACTCACTTCCCTCCCGCCCTCTCCCCCTACTTAAGATGCAGTATTCCTCCCTGCACACACATTCAATTCACTGTTATCAAGCACCACTACCCCATCTATATACAAAGCAGGGCAGTAGGAGTTCCCACCCCGCCCCACCCCGCATCCACACAAAAAGCTGGCAATGGAAAACCTCACCCCATCTATATGAGAAGCAGGGTAATGGGAATCCCCCCATGATCTAAACAGGTCAGTGGAAGCCCCCCCCATCCATTTACTTGGTGGGGCAGTGGGGGGTCCCATCCATACACAAAGCGGCGGTGGGAGCCCCCCATCCATACACGAAGCAGGGCGGGGAAGCGCCCCCCCCAACACATTGTTCAGAGTGTTCAGAGGCGGGTGTTGGCAGCTCCTGAGGTCAAGCTGAGGTGCGGGGTAAAGGCGAGGGGGAGGGGAGGCGGGGGGTGGGGGCAGACGGAGGAGACTTTGAGCTGGTGAAAGTGAAGAAATGGGAAAACACTGAACAAGCCCCCTACCCCCAAACAGTGTATGTGACACACTACAGACATAGACTGGAATGAGGACAGGCGCAGATACCTCCGGATATATCCGCAGACTTGGCCATCGTTGCCCAAGGTCCGAGCCCGGGAGCATCAATGTAGGAGGGCGGGCGGGTCATCCAGCACGAGTCTCCTCTCCTCCGTTCTGTGCGGGGTTCTGGCTGTCTTTGTGTGCAGGCCTGCTTGGCCAAAGTGGACGAGTTTCCAGCTCATTCTCTGTTTTGCTTTTGCCTTATTCCCTCTGCTAATTTTTCCGAGCTTTACTGAGGTGGATTTTTTTCTGATGGGGGGGGAGAAGGGGATATCAAGGCTCTGGCGGGTCTTAACCCTCTGCCTGCCATCTTCCCACAATGCACCAGAATAACACTTTTCCCCAGACTGACTGTTGTGAGTCCTAGCATCGCATTTCTCTTGGAATTGATTCAGTATTTCATTGTCTCTTGGGACAATGTTAATTTCGGAACCTTCAGCCCTTCTCTGCTTCCACTCTGTTTCAAATACTCTAATTGTGTTGTTCTATCTAATGTCCTTTTTTCTCTCCACTGAGTATGTCTCCTTTGCAAATTAGCCCAGTTTTTGCAGGCATCTCAATTCCATTGCATAACTTTGCCACGGGCCAATCAGAGCAGAAGCTTCCAGGCTCACTGGCCCAGTTTCCCTGGTGCCACATAAACCCCAATTCTGATTTGGTTCCTTAAGGATCTGCTAATGCTCACTCTATTCTCATCATTTTGAAGTCACTTTGCTTATTTGTAGGCCATTGAATTCTGCCAACTCACTGCAAGCCTTTTAACTCTAAACAGTGTGGGAGTAGAATCAAGTAGGAAGGTACAAGGGCAAAAAGCATTTGGTAAGTGCCTACTATGTGCTAGGCACTGTGCTAACTGCTTTACAAGTAAGATCTGTGTGATCCTCACCACAACCCTGGGAGGTAGGTGCTATTATGATTCCCATTTTACAGATGATGAACTGAGGCTGAGGTAAAGTGACTTACCCAAGGTCACACAGCTAGAACATGTCTAAGGCAAGATATTACACAATGCCATGAGACTGTAAAAGCATTGCCTTGCTGGGCCCAGACAAGATTAGGAGATTATTATTACATAAATTTGTAACAGATCCTGTCAGCATGCTTTCCCAGCTCAGCAGGATGTGAAGAGAGTAGGAGGTTAGATGGGAGGAATAAGCCAAGGTTGGTGTTTGGTAAGGCATGATCAGTGAGAAGATAAGGGGGCAAAGAGACTGAAGTGTAGAGTTAAGATGCAGCAAGTCAAGCCCATCCCCCAACCACCCCCACCACCTTGACTACCTCAAATCCTGATGGAGAAAACCCAGCACCCTGAATCCAAGAATAACATTGCTTCCATCTTGGTGCCCTCTGCAACCATCTTGGTAAGCAATATCTATAGAGATGTTGGCAACTGTGGCCATAAGTGCTATAGCCACAGTGACTGAAGACCCAGAGAGGAAAATTCTTGCTACCAAAGTCCATCATCATCATCACTGGGTTGCTGTCATCATCAATCATCATTTATATAGCATCTACTGCGTACCAGGCACCATGCTAAGCACTTTACAGATATCTCATTTGATCCTCACAACAACCTTGGGAGGCAGAAGCTGCTATTATTCCCAATTTATAGTTGAGGAAACTGAGACAAGCTAAGATTAAGTGATTTACCCAAAGTCACAAAATGTCTGAGGCTGGATTTGAACTCAGGTTTTCCTGACTCCAGAACAGGCACTCTATCCTACTACACCACCTGGTGCTTTCCTTGGCATTGTCAAATGGTTCAACATCAGAAACTGACAGGATTTTATTAGTGGAAATGACATGAAATGACATTAAAGAAGAAGCGTGCCCATCTGCACCTTTGTCTCCCTCATTAGAATGTGTTGTATGGTTTCTACTGAACAGAACAAGATGACCTGCAAGGCCCCACTAGTTTCTCTCCTCCCCCACCTTTCCAGCTTCCTTCTGTGTTGTCTCTCCCTCATAAGTTACTTGAGGGCAGGAACTATCTTTTTCTTATTTGTATCCCCAGTGCCTGACACATAGTTGTTCAGTTGTGTCCAAATCTCCCTGACCCCATTTGGGGTTTTCTTGGCAGAGATACTGAAGTGGTTTGCCATGTCCTTCTCCAGCTCAATTTACAGATGAGGAAACTGAGGCAAACAGGATGAAGGAACTTGTCCAAGGTCACACAGCTAGTGTCTGAGGCCACATTTGAACTCAGTTCTTCCTGACTCCAGACAGCAAGAGCTCTATCTACTGCATCACCTTGCTGCCCTGGCACATAGTAAAAGCTTTTTTTATTGACTGACACCCTATTCAACTAACTCCAGTAGCTCTCTAGTTCTCTAGGATCAACTATAAAACCCTGTGGTTGGCTTTTAAATCCCTTCAGAACCGCCCCCCTCTTACTTTTCCAGTTTTCTTAAACTCTTTTTCCTCCACTTGCTCTGTGATACAGTGACACTAATTTCTTTGCTATTTCTTGCATAAAACACTCCATCTCCAGACTCCATGCATTTTCACAGGCCATTCCCCACACCTGGAACTCTCTCCCTCATCTCTTCTTTACTTCTTTCATGTTTCAACTAAAATCCCACCTTCTGCAAGAAGCATTTCCTGGTCCCTCCTAATGTGTGCACCTTTCCTGTGAGATCACCTGAAAAGTAATTGGTTAATTAACAGATATTTCTTAATGGGATCTGGGTGAGTCCTTTCCCTGGGGGAAGAACTCTTGTCCTTGAACCCCTCCATTAGAGTTTAGGGTGATCCTAAGCTCATGAAGGAGAAAGCTAGCCAGAGAGGTCCAGATGGAAATGGCCTCCCCTGCCCAGAACAGGTCAAGTCACGTTCTCAGCAGGAGGTGCTGAAGATTTCCTAGCCACCTCCTCATTATATGTTTACAGTATTGTGTTTCACTTGTCAGGGGAGTTCAGCATCTGAAGGAACACACTTTATCCATTTCAAAATGTTTCAGAGTCTCCCTTGGTGTCTCTTGCTACCAAGAGAAACCACTGATCATCAACTTATTGATTATTGGCTAGCCTAAAATATCAATAAGCTGATTATGAACACCCAGAAACCTCTGTTTTTGCTTCCCATTAACTTATGAACTGGGCTTTGCCAGACAGAGAAAGGAACCTACCTTTGGTGAGCATGGCACTGCAAACCCAGCTGTAGAAAGCAAGGGCTGATAGGGAGGTTTCCCCTGCTCCCCACAGGAATTCCCCAGGAGGTTTAATTGTTTAATTATATTTAATTATTTGCTCCAGCTTGGCAACTAAGGAAGGGACCAGAACTCTGTACCCCAGATTCTTATCAGAAAGCTCCTCCATATCTTTCTGGACCCAAGTGGAAAATTTGTCTGTTAGGGACTCTGGCTGTGGATTGACTCTCTCCCTATTGCCAACAGTTAGATCTTTTTCCAGGTAAAAACTAATCTATCTAGTCTGTTCTGTTTTCCAGGTGCTGTAGCTTTTAATAATTGGCTACTCTCACAATGGGGTCCTCAACAGAATGCATTCTAATTGATAGAGATCTCCAGAAGTAGACTAGAGAGATTAAAGTACAATTTCTGGCCCCCTCAGGATTTGAGGGATTGTGGGTTCTGTCTATGAACCCCAAGCTTCAAAACAGTGTGTCTCAAATCCTTGCAGGACCTAAATGCCACAAAAGGAAGTCCATGAGAGAACAAACTTTACAATTACTTTAAATCAATCAGTCTGAGTCAAATATCAGGGCTTTGTGTGGAGACATTTCAGATTAATTGCTTCAGCACAGAGTCTAAAAAAACCCAGTTCTGAAGATGCCTGTCTGTCTGCAAAAGATATCCTTGAACAGAGGAAGTAATTAGTAAAACTAATTGTTATTTCTTTTTTGTTTGTTTATTTAGTATTTTATTTTTCCCCACTTATGTGTAAAAAACAATTTTTAACATTCGTTTTTAAAGCTTTGAGTTCTACATTCTCTCCCTTCCTCCCTCTACTCCCCTCACTGACAAGGCACAAAATTCGATACAGTTTATGCATGTGTAGTCATGCAAAACATTTCCATAATAATCATGTTGTGAAAGAAAACAAAGTTGTTTTTTTTTAAATCTCAAGAAAAAAAAAATTAAAAAGTATGCTTCAGTTTGTATTCAGACACTATCAGTTCTTTCTCTGGGGATGGATAGCAGTTTTCATTATAAGTCCTGCAGAGTTGTCTTGGATCATTGTATTGCTGAGAAGAGCTAAGTCATTCACAGCTGATTATCTTACAATATTGCTATTACTTTGTACACAGTACATTTCACTTTGCATCAGCTCATGTAAGTCTCAGTTTTTCTGAGAGCATCCTGCTGGTCATTTCTTATGGCGCAATAGTATGCCATCATAATCACATACCACAATTTGTTCAGCCATTCTCGAGTTGATGGGCATTCCCTCAATTTCCAATTCTTTACCCACAGAAAAGAGCTGCTTTAAATATTTGTACATATAGGTCTTTTACCTTTTTGTTTTTTATCTCTTTTGGGATACAAACCTAGTAGTGGTATTACTAGGTCAAAGGGTATGCATGGTTTTATAGCCCTTTGGGCATAGTTACAAATTGTTCTACACAAGGGTTGAATCAGTTCACAACTCCACCAACAGTACATTAATGTCTCATTTTTCCCACATCCCTTCCATTTGCCATTTTCCTTTTCTGTCCTATTAGCTAATCTAATAGGTATGAGGTAGTACCTCAGAATTGTTTTAACTTGCATTTCTCCAATCAATATTGAGTTAGAACATTTTAAAAATATGGCTATAGACTGCTTTGATTACTTTATCTGAAAACTGTTTATATCTTTTTTTTATCATTTATCAGTTGTGGAATGACTCATATTTTTACAAATTTGACAGTTCTCTACATGTTTGAGAAATAAGGCCTTTATCAGAGAAACTTGCTTCAATTTTTTTTCACAATTATTATTGCTAACTAGATTTCTCTCCATCCTATCCCCCCATTTATTCTAGTCTCTCTCATTTCACACAGTCTCTCCTCAAAAGCATTTTGCTTCTGAGTACGCCTTCCCCCAATCTGTACTGTCTTCAGTCTCCCCCACCCCTGCTCTTATCCCACTGCCCTCCTACTTTCCTGTAGGGTAAGAAGGCTTTCTATAATTGAGTATATATGTTATTCTTTCTTTGAGCCAATTCTCATGAGAGTAAGGTTCATTCACTCCCCC